CCCCAAAACCCCAAAACCCCATGAGCTATAAAAATATGAAATTTGAAGATTAAGCTTGATAAAAATATATTCATTAAATTTAGATTATTATTGATAACTAAGCAGTATAGAGGATGAGTTTAAGAATAATCGAGTATGAGTATGGCCTTATGTTTTAGTTTGCATTAATCATAAGTGGGTTCTTATTATTCAAATCTTTTCATGGTTACGAAACTTAGTGAATTATTTGCTTTTACCAGTATGAAAATTTATAGAATGCTTTCAAGATTATTGGCATTAAAGTAATTCTTTCCTAGAAATATTCTTCCTCATGATGAGGTATGGAACGTAAAGGCTTTGTTTCAAGTCATAGAGATTGATAAATATTAAAAGTTGTGAGCCATTTGTCCAAGGCTCCAAGATTGATAAATTTACAAGTTATGAATAAAGCAAATTTGAAGATTAGGGCATTTGTCAGGCAAGACGTAAGAAAAATTAGAGGTTAAATGCTTTGTTCTCAAATTAGAGAGGTTTACTGATCGAGTATAGCTTTATGTAGCTACAACTATGAGGAGTCAATGATGAGACTCATTCCCAAGAGATAATGGCTTTAGAAAAATTCCAGGAGATAAATCTAACAAGGACAAATCCATAATAACAACTACCCATGGATATTATTAAAAAAGACTCTTCCAGATATAGATCGAAATTTTGATAAATCACTTGAAGAGATAGATTTGTAGATAATGGAATTTAATTCAGTGCATCCCATGAAAAGAAAGTTAAGATTAGTGACTAACTTATAGAGTCCTCATTCTATTTAATTGCGTATCCATCAACTACCTAAGAAATTATCCATAGTTATAAGTATCTATAGAGCTAGGCTGCTATAAATTCATGACCTATTAATTCATAGATTCAGCAGTTAATTTACGAATTTAAATATTTGAGCATACTCTTGAAAATGGTAAAAGACATATGAACTATAATTCATCTGAAAATTCATTGTCTCCCTATCTTAATAGCACAAATGTAAGAATCAGATTTCCAAGATTAAAACATGATTATTTTAAAATTAATTATCTGTTAATGAATTTTATTTTTTTAATGACGGGGTTTTGGGGTTTTGGGG